CTAGGTTTCTTTTAATGATGAGAAAAGTGTTAAAAGATAGGATTAACTGAGAAATAAATTTCTGTGTCTGGCTGATAGGTGCATAAGAGGCTGCTAAAGATAGAGAAGGTTCTCTTAAAAGAAAAATAAAAGGGAGTTGAAAATCTCTGGTTATTGTTCACCTAGGCAGGGAATCCTAAAGAAATAGCTAAAGGGCTACATGAAGGGAAGACTGAGAAGGAAAGACAGTTTCTTCAGTAAGCCTTAAAGGCTTTTTGTTTGTGTAGAACCTGAAATTGCAGAATGGCATGCTGAATTTTCAAGGTGTTGAAAAATTTAATTCAATCCATACATTAAAAGCAGCAGCTTTTCAAGAAAGCACAAACTCTTTATTTTTTTTTAATTCAGGTTTCTTTCTTAACATTTTGCAGAAAGAAAAGTCAATACTATTGAGGCTGCCAAAGATACAGCAGTACTTAACGTTACTAAGAACATTAAAAAGGATTAGGCCAACAGACACTGGTGACTCGTAGGGGCTCTCTCTTTTCTTTCAGCATGAACACAGGGACAATGCTCAAATGCGCATTTCAGAACTTGTGCCCTGTCTGCAAGTGAAACTGGTCTTGCCACTGGTCCTAACCCTGACGCATTAGGAAGATAGGGAGAGAGAGTAGGATGGGAAATAGTTCTCAGTTGCATTAGGGCAGTAATAGATAGATACCGGACTAATGCCTAAAACCTCTAAACCCACTGTGTGAAACGATGCAGTGGTCTCAGTTCAGTTCGCAGTAGTCTGAGAGATGGCTTAAATGAAACACCAACACAATGGGATTGAACTATGCTCTTGTTGTGAGTCATAGCAAGAAGAATTAATTTTTACATTCCCTTTGGAATGCCAATTTACAGACAGACAGTTGAGCTTGAAAGCCTATGTCTTTTACATATCACAATACTCTTAGTGAAGCCAAATTGTGCTTTGTTTATGCATGGCGTGCAAAAATAGTAAACACACTCTGAAGTATTTTCATGTGAAAAATTGTTTGCACGTAGACCTGAGTGCTAACGATGTTCAAGCCAGCCTGGCTTGCAGCAATGAAATTGCATCTTCAAAATAAAACCAAGGCATCTTGACAGGGTTTTGAAAATAACTGCAAACTAGGCAATTGGCCTACAGCAGTGTGGTTTCATGATACATTCTCTATAGGGTAATGATAATAGTGAGACTGCAGAATATAGTATAATGTAAAAAAGTAAGCAGACTGTTCTCAGAAGGTTATTAAATCCTGTGACAACACATAGCAGTTCTGCTGGGTGTGCTGTTGTAACCATTGTATGTTTAGGATATACATACAAATGTGAGCTACATTAGTTCTTCAGCCATGTCTCAGAGATCAAGGACTGCAAAATTAGATTATAAAAGTATTCTTTGTTTTAGACCTCTTGAGCGGTTTGGCTGTGCTGTAAGCCCTGTAACACCTTTAGCTATCTCTAAAGCCATCTTCATCTCTCACCAGTGGAAATATTTACAGAGAAGGAGGGGAAGTTGCATGTTCTTTTCTTACCATTTCGGCACTGCTCAGCTTCACAAAAACGGATCCCATCAGGAACACATATGAATGAGTGGATGTGGGGAACGCCATTCTGCAATTTAGAGCAGACACGTAAGTAAAAGTGCGGTAAATACTATCTTAACTTGAAAACAGGAACTAAGAGAGTGACAACTGACTTCAGCATAAACAAACTGAAAGTATTAGTGTTTTAGATACCTCATGGAGACGTTGCCATGGTACTTCTTGAACGTAGGTTTTGACGTATGCCACTTGGCAAAATGTTGTCATGAAGTGTTTGCAGATATCTATGGCAAATTGTTCCAAAGTTGGGATCTAAGACAGCAAACAGTATTATTAGAAAGAAGCAATTACCTCATGTACAAAAGCAGATTGTTCTGATTGTTGTAAATATTTGGGAAGGATCAATGTTGTTAAAAATACAGATTTCTCTCATTTCTGTTTTTGCGCACTGTGCCTAGTCATTTGATCAGCTTGCAGCATATGCTACGTATGCTACAGAGCCATGTCAAAAATCTCTCATTCTGTGGTATAGTGAGCTGCAGTCCTTGGACTGAGAGAAACTGCTACAGAAGCCTTACGCTTTCAGGATGTAATGCTGAAATAATCATAGTGATATTCTGATTAAGTTTTACAGGCTATAGATGGGATTTCATTACTGAGACAGACAATTCATGCTACAGATTGTCATTATGATAGGTGCACTTGAGGGAGGTAAGAGCACAGTTAACAGAAGTAAGAGGAGTCTCACATTGAGACCTTCTGTTTTTTAAAAAAATATATATAGGAATAATGCAGTATTATGTGCTATTAAATTAAAAAAAAAGTGGCTCTCATATGACAAATTTACAAAAAATACTGCTAGCTCTGTGAGGAAAAAAAGGCTTTGGAAAACTAAGGAGGAGTCTGCAGGATAAGCACTGGAGGAGGAAAAATTCTCTCTCAAATCATTGAAGGTGTCTTTAGTGCCAATCTGACATGCCCATGGGGGGAGAGATTATTTTGAAGTATTTTGAAAATAAAAAGTATAACTATAAAAATAAAAAAAATAAAAAAAAAAAAAGTAAAAAGTATAACTAACAAATACTTGTCATAAGAAACAGCGAGGCTAGTTAAAAAATAAAAAATACCCCATTTTTTTTGGCCAACACAAGGACAGTATTCTTTATCGTGTCTGTAGGAATCACAAGAGAGTTGTTTCCGTCCAGGTACTCCTGAGCAGAAGTCAGCCGGAGATGCGTGCACACTTCCACTTCTTTAACAAAGTGCTTCTTCCCTTCTCTATGAAGGCGAAGGAACTTAATTGTGTTCTTGCCATATTCACAGTTGAGGACTTCTACATCCTTGATCTGCAGAGAAAATACGTGACAGTTTTAAAGAAACTCAGTGGAAGACTGAGTTATGATTAGTCAATGAAATACAAACAATGTTTATGGCATTTATTTCTGTGGTTAGCTGTGATTATGAAAACATTTCCGTTATAAATTGCACAGTCCTGATGGGAAGAAAAAATGCTTTAGGAAGCTATTATTACATTAGTAGCAGCTGTGATTGATAGCATTTTAAAATTTTATGGGGAGCAGATTATATAACGTGAGTAACAGTGAACTAGTCTCTCTTGTGTGTCATCTTTGGATTAATCCTGACTGCATAGGCCTTCAGTGAGTCTCCTCTCCATCATCTCTTTCTGAACCCAGAGCGTCCCAGTGCATTCAGCCACCACAGGTACAGCCGTGCGGAGGGCAGGCAGCATTCACACCCATGCCCTCCGCAGTCACTCCACCGGGGCAGGCTCTGCCAGGCTGGGCTGCACCCCTCTAGATACAGCATCAAGAGCAGAATTTCACCACCTCCTACTCCTCTGGCTCCCAGCTTGCACAGCCACTGTCAGGCTCCACGCGTGCAGTGCGCTGAGCCCTCTCCATTTTCACACAGAAACTGGCAAAACACAGTCTGCATCCTGCGTGGCAGAGCCCCCCGTTAGCAGAACTCCGCGTCCCCAGGGCTGTCCCCCATCACACACGCAGGGGCGCAGGGACTTGCTGCTCTGAGGCGGAGTGGAAGCGGTGAGTAGCAAAGCAATTCTTCCGTGAGGGGCGGCAAGGTTGCTTTGTAAGCAGGCAGAAGTCCTGAACAGAGAATGGAAACAGCTGTGACGTTCTTGGCATGTTGTGTGTTTTATTAGTCCTCCTGTGCACGTTGCAATTCCCGAGAGCAGGAAGAAAAGACAGGCTGAGCTGGGCTGGTTGAAAGCGTTTCCTCGCAGCTGGTTTACAGTCCTGATCTCCCACAAAAGGGATCAGAAGCGAGTCTGAGCTGCCAAATTTGGGTCTTGATCCACACCTCCAAAATCCTGGCTTTCTGGGATCGTTGGTTTTGTTTGTGCTAAGCCCTATTCAGTTTTATCCTGCTTCTGTCAAACACACCCCATTTACACATCTATTACAGTGTTCGATAGCCTGTACTAGAAAGGAGACAAAATACTGCGAAGGTTGTGAGGATTTCTTTTTGCTAAAATATCCAGAGCTTATTGCACTAGACTTTCCCTGAGGCTGAAATATCCCATACTTGGTATCAACATCTTTTAATGTAAATCAGCACCTTTCAATGTAAGCATAATGAGAAGGGAGAAATAACATTTTACACACCAAAATATAAATTGAAGCTTTTTATGTGCGAGTTGCTAAAAGATTATCATCAGATGTAAAATTGCTCAATTCAGATATGTTTGTTCCTAAGAGAAATGCTAATGCACTTAAAAGATAATTTTTAAAAAATATTAACTAATTGCAAGTAAATGACCGTGGCTCAGAGATCAGAGCGTTTTCTCCGACTGGCAGGCCCTGCGGGCGCAGACCCTGCGGGCGCAGTCCCCACAGACGAAGGCAGGGCCCCACTGCCACAGCCAGAACCGGGCAGGGCTCCGTGCTTGGCCAGAAACCCTCTCTGTGGGAATGGTGCGAAGGCTGTGCTCGCTACCAGGGCTGGGTGGAGAAGTAGTGGGATGGAAATGGTTTCGTTTTGCTTGTCTGAACACTGAGATTTTTTTCAGAGGGTTGTAAAAAATTCATACTTCAGTCATGCAGCACTAAAAAGAAAACAAAAAGGGTTTCGGTATCTGCAGCTTTTTTTTCTTCTTAAAGCAGAATACCGTGAATACTCTAAATAGTCGAAATACTACCTCCTAAAACACAAAGGTAAGTTTTTCTCAAAAACATAACTTGACAACTGTCATTCTGTTGCCCAGAGAAATCGTGAGCGGTTTCCAGCGGCTCCCGCTGCGGAGGGCCGGCCCTGCAATGGGAGCCCGACTTCCCAGGCTGGTTCTGCCGTCCCCGGCAGCCGCCCGCCATGTGCTTACGGCACCGTGCAGCAGGAGCTGACAGTTAATGCAACACAACTTCTCCTTTTAGAGCCTACTCAGCGCTTGCCCTGTGCAGCCGAGGAACCAAAATGCCCGCGGGATCTGCATGGTGTCAGCCTGCTTTGCTATTGCTTCTCTCCTCCGCGCCACTGTGGGCAGCCGAGCTTTCCTGCAGGAATGAAGATGGGGAGACGGTCGATTGGTAAGTACGTACCGTGCAGGGGAGAAACGCTGGGTAAGTAAATAACACTTCAGATTAAACCGTGTGAAGGAGGTGGATCGCTGAGAAGTCATACCTAGCAATCACTGGTTTAATCCTGTTTGCTTGTGAGTAGAAACTGAACTTTGCATTTGGAAAAACCTAGGGTAAGTTACTGAAATGTGATTTCATTTCACTGAACCAAGCACCCTAGTGCACTATGACTAACTGCAAAATAATCACCGTTTTACACAGCGTTCATGTCTCATCATCAAAGGGAACATAACGTGTTCGGGTGCCAAGGCTGCGCTCGCCGGCGGCAGCCCTGGAGCCGGCCCAGGCCAGGGCTCCAGCACGCAGCTCCTCCGGCTGAGGGAACCGAGGCGAACAGGGAAAATGTCCGTATCTCGCCCTTAGCCTCGTCGCTCGTGCCCGAACAGCACTGTGGTGGGATTGGTCCCCTTGCTGCCATCGCTGAGGGGGAGCAGAGGCTGAGCCACCCCCTGAGGGATATGGGAGAGGCACGGGGGGGGCTGGCAGCGTGGGAAAGCTCCGTCTGTGCCTTATGACTGAGGAGCAGAGGTCGTCCCCCGCTGCCGGAGCTGCCAGCGCGTTACAGCTGGTACAATCCCACTGCCAGCAGCGAGCCCGAGTTTGGGTATTAAATGATTAACTGGATTCATGCGCTTTGAAGATGAAAGATGCAAAGTATAATTACGTAATATCCAGCCCAGGTTTAAAAAGTGAAACGAGGGCTCTTGAAAAAGAGCATGGTAACCTCCCAAAGATAAATATCAACCAATTTCCAAAGTGTCTTTCTCATGGAATAATGATTAGTTTGGAATCAAGTGATAAAGAAGTAGGTGCTATTCTTGCACATCCCTCCCCTTGCACACAGAGCTAACTGCCGGGAAGGCAGGAGCTCCTCACACTGCAGGCAGACTGCTCAAGCAGGAGCATAAAGCCAGCTTTGCTCTGTAGTGGTGTAGCATCAAACCTCTGAGGGTCTGGTCCATCCCTATGACTTGTCACCCTTGCCAAGGCCTTTCTGGATAATGTGATTTTTTTCAGGAATGAGACTCTCAGTTGGTGCAGCTACCCAACAACTTAAAGGTACGAGAAATTTCACTTCTCTGCAAACTGCAATTATTCCTTGTAGAACAAGTCTGTCTGTGCTAAAGTGAAAAAAACAAAACAAAACAAAACAAACCACACAAAAAAACCCAAAACCAGACCAAAACGCAAACAACAAAAAAAGGAAAAAAAAAAAACACATTTACCATCCATTTCTTAAATGAACACAATTTTTGTATCCAAATTCTCTTTCTCTGAGAAACTCTTTGAAAGCTGTGGCTAGGAGTGATTCACCTGTGCCTCCATGTGAATGCCAGTGATGTGGGACCCGTTCCAGCTGGGAACTGGGGGGTCTGCACAGGCAAAACCATGTTCCCTTCTGACAAATTTAGCAGGAAGGACAGGAGGGATTTCCTTTCCAAAGTGCCGTGATCAAATGAAAGAGAAACTTGCCTATCTGCACAGGTCATCCTAGTTTATTGACAAGAAATAGACAGCTTTTGCCTAATTCTGGATTTGGTTGCTATGAAGCTGATAGGAGAAGCAGAACTGAAACCGCTGAGAAAAGTTTCCTCTTAACCAAAGGATGTCAATGCCCTTTCAAACAAACACAGCACTGCAGGTTTTACATTCAGTTAGCAAGAGCTTTATGTGAGCTGTGACTATTCAGTGGTTTCATCCTGCAATATTCTATAATTACCCAGTATTCCCTCACACTTTCGTTTGCCACTAAGCCGGAGGAATCACTTGCCTTATCTGACCTGACCTGACCCCATCTGTGCTCCCCGGCCGTGCCTGCCGTTCCGACCCACTCGTGGTACCTGGGCTGGCAAAAGTCTCCTCCGTGCTTTCATTCCACTCAGGAGCTTATCCCCCCATCTTCACTGCACCTTAAACAGGGGCTACCAGAGCAAATGGCCATAGGATCAGCTCTCTGAGGGAGGCAGAGAGCCTTTCCTTTGTTCATCCAAACTCAGTGTATGCTGTGGGAAGATTTTCATGCAAATAAAAGCCAAAACTCTGCTTTCTGAGAAGTGTTGAGTCAAAGACTGAAGCCACAGATGCACATATTGTTTGTCTTTCGGGGGAAGGGGGAAGAAGTAAAGACATGATTAAGTAAAGATATGATTATTTGTAGTTAGTGTTCAGTCACAAGCAAACAATGTGACAATACTAATGGGGTATAAGCGGATTTACTTTTCCTTGGTTCTCAGGCAAGTAAGTTTCATTCAGCTCCCACAAATGCCTAAGCTCTTGAGAAACTTCCTGTGCGCAAAGAGCAGTGAAGACTTTTATACAATTTTAATTGCTAATACACTCAGCTGGCTTTCTGGAAAAGGCCAAACCATGTATCCACTGGGAACTGGCAAGCAATTTACTGATAGCTCAACTACTAGCATTTCCGTAAGCGTACCTGCTAACATGGATTTGTCAGGTGCAAGGCTGTAAACAACCCAAGAGCATAAATCTTCCAACATATTTCGAAGCAGTTTGGAAAGGCTTTGCACACTAATTCTTGGATCAGCTTGTACTACTGCAACTACTGCTATTCCTCTCCTTTCCAAATTTTCATTTCAAATAAAGGGATTGTTGTGACTCCTCGTGCATGGACAGCTCTCCCCAGCCTTGCTATATAAATCACTCTTCTCTTCTCTGTGATCTGTCATCAGCAACAATTTCTCCTGACATATTTAAGGAACATCACTCAGTCAGTGACAATGCAGGTGGATTACCAGGATCGCCAGGGGTATGTGTTTCTCTTCTGCCTGTACGTGTACATTTCCCATGGATTAAATGTTCCTTTAGGAAAATGCTTTCCTGCCACTTCTTACCTATTTTCAGAGATGCCTTTTTTTGACCAACTTGAGACTGTAAATCAACTGGGCAAGGCTTACTCCTCCTGATATACTTGAAGGGTTAAGCACAGTCAGGTTGCATTTTTTGCTAAATAGTATAGGATTGAAAATAATGCCACTCAGTTCTTACTATTGACATAAATGACAAATTACTCAAGTACAGCACTCAAAGAAAGTGGCTCAATTAATTATATTGCAATTAATCCCATGGACTTGTGCCCTGGGAAAACCTGTTTGCTTCATCAGGGACATTAATATGAACTGAGTCATTTACTGACAATATTGAGTACTCTACAATTTTGAAAAGATTTGTGTTTCTGGCTAATGGTTTGCAAATATCCAGTCTGCAACAGTTCAGCAGAGTGCAAGTCTGTTATGAAAAGTAGGATTGGAACAACATTATCACATGGCTTTGTACTTATTTTGTGGTTTTAATATGTAGAAATATAACTATGCATTTTTATAATTTGAATACATAATTTTATCTATTTCATATAAAGTTATATAATATAAAAATGTATTGGTAAGAGGTGTCCAGGTTGACAATGAGAATGTCAGACTGAGTTTGGGACCTGATGTTCTCTACCAGAACCAGGAGCAATAGGGATTTGGTGGCTAAACAGGACTCCAAACCAGGGCTACCTCAAATTCTTTCAGGGTACCAACAGCAGTCTGGCCACAGCAGCAGGAGTTTGGTGCCAGATCACCCTTCCTTGCTTGCTAAGAAGCAGAACAAATCTGTCTGCAGCAGGTACTGTGCTGCCAAACTGCTGCTGGTTCCTGCGTGGGGTCACCTCCTCGAGGCTGAGAGGTCCACACTGCACACTGGTGGCACTGGTCCCCCTCCAGCGTAGACATCCCTGGAGTCACCCTTCTCCTAAATCCTCAGGTGGGAAGGAGATATTGATTTACACATTCAAACAGGATGGTTGTAGATAAAACAATTGCTCTTCACTGTTGCAGGTTTATTCTTTACAAGTTGCCAAAACATGCCAAAGGAGAGATTCCTACACTGGGGCTGGAATACATGTACATGGATGCCCTGGCTCCGCAGTGGCAGCTCGGTAAATACCTCATCAACATGACACAGGGTGCTCTGGGACAAACGCTGAAGCAGCTGTATGAGACGTACGAATCCGAGGCAAGTGACATTTAATTATAATTTTGTTAGTATGCTTACTTGATATTGCATGCAAATGAAAAGAAACCAGACAAAATAAGCACATAGAGGTATGGCTGGGCCTGACCGACTAGATCTTCTAAAATACGTCAAGGGGAGCGAGCTGGCAGATTATTTGCAGTTTTGGCTACAGTTATAAATTATCCTTGAACTTCTAATTTCTAGTCAAGCCTTTCACACACTTAAAGTATTGCCCATTAAAAAAAATGAGCGTTAGTACATAGTCCCTTTGGCTTCTTCTCTGCAGTTCATGTTCAGCAACATCTGAAGCTGTGAACCAGCTGTGAACTCAGACAAGGGCCACTGGTGACTATTACAGACACTAGTCCTAAGCCCTCCCTCATGCACGTGTTTCACACCCTGTCTCAAATCTGGGTTTTGCTCTTCCCTTTGAAATCACACTGACTGCTTCAGCAGTGATATGCTGCTTGTTAGGCCTTTTTTTTGCTCGCACAGTCAGACACCTAATTTCTGTTTGTGTGAAGAGAGTATAAAATACCACAAGACCTGCCTATAGTTATTTTGTTACCATCTACATAGTATTCTTGGGAGTCTGGGTGTGTCTTTTGCATTTCTGCTGTGGGTTAGTGGTAGGGTGTCATTAATTTATATATAAAATTGATTCCCAGAAGTCAGTCAAACATTGGTAATTTGGTCAACTGTCCTATTCCAGGTCTCGTTGTAATTGTAATAAACTGTTTACAAACTCAAAGTACATTGGGAGGGGAAGGATGTCGCCACTCCTTTGAAGTTCTCTATTCAGGGGGAATAAGGTGCAGCCATATGCACATATTTTGGAAAAAAGCATTAATTGCTTGTCCTTCATAAGAACACTTGTCATGTTTATTTTTCCTCAGCAAACATTTTCACCAGATCTGGTTGTTAAATCAGAGAGAGTCACAAAAAAAAGCAGAAGGGGGAACTTCTTTGCAAGCGAGTGCCCAATAAACCAATGTAAATTGTCTTAGCATATTCGACCTCTTGAGGAAGGGCTACTGCAGTGATTGAGAGAACTTCCACTATATATTAACTGGGACCCTAATGCTGAGTGCTTAGGTTTATTTTACTGTAACTTCTGCAGAGACTGTGTCAGCTGAATCGGGAGGAGGATTAGGCTCGTGATGTTCACACAGAGAAGTCCTGAATTCTTTCTTCTGTTCCCAGCAGAAGATGTTCACTTAAATGCCTTCCTTTTACTGAATGTCATGTTTCAGAAATGTGTGTTTTTCTGCAGAGGAACAGCATTGCATATGCAATATACAATGACGAGGTCCCTGAATCAGACTCTGATGGGTGGAAAAGAGGACATACCAAAGGTACAGACAAAGTCCCAAGCTACTATTTTCTCCTTTCTAAAATTGTAGATAGCATCTACTCATCTGTTTGTCTATCTGCACATCTAAAATTCTTGCCTAAAGCAAAACTGGAGAATGATTTGCATGATGAGTGGTTTGTTGTATAGTTACATATGCTGCAGCTTCTGTTTTGTTTTTGCTATGGCTGGGCTGTGTTGAAGAATTCTTAGGGCTTATGCAGCCTTTGTTTTCAAGAGTTGAAACTCATACAGCTCCTTCCAGTGAGTACAGACCCCATCGTCCTGAGCCTAATGGCAACAGCAGTGCAAGATGTGACAGGAAAGGCACCCTAAACATAGAGCCCTCCAAACTCTGTCTCTCTGGGACAAGAAACTGCTGCCAAGATCATGGTAGCACTAAAGTATGCAGTTAAAGTAAAGCAAGACTTTAAATAAGTGTAAACTTCAGTGGAGGTCTAAATGTTCCCTTGAGGAAGCCGATGGAGTTTGCCCAGCCTGACTCCAGGATGAACACATTTTGCAGGGCTGTATTTTCAGGCTGCAGCAATGGGGACGGCTCAGGAGCCGTGCTCCTCCCCAGGGCACCCTGCTGCAGGAGAGGAGGCATAGCCCGATCCTCTGCTGCTTCCCGGTGGAGGAGAATTTGGTGTGGGAAAGAAGACACGGTGTTGACGGAGTCTATTCCCCTTATGCAGTGAATATATGAAGGGAAGGAAAACGCGTAGTGGAGAGAGGGTGACAGCCACTAAATCATCAGACTTTCTGAAGACAAAATTTGAGCAGAGAAAGAGAAAGGTTTTGAAAAGATATTTTTTTCAAAAGAAACATAGTGACAGTTTGAGTTAGGCTATGCAGGAGAGAATTAATGCAATTTTAATACAATAATAGTGTCTCCTGTCATCTATTAATCTACTCTAGAGCCAGTTTACTGTAGACATTAACACATTGGAGTGTGGTGTCTGCAGTGGCAAATCCAAAGTAGGACACAGCTCCATTGTCTCAGGGCTTTTTTGTCCTTAATTCATTTGCAATAACTTTTTTTTGACAGGATTTCTGCTCTTGGACAAATCACAAGGCTTCTGGGTGATTCACAGTGTGCCTCTGTTCCCTCCCATCCCTGAGGATGGTTATGGGTATCCAGCTACTGGGGAGTCCTATGGACAGACGGCCATCTGTATAACCTTCAAATATGACCAGTTCACAGAAATAGGTATGAAAAGCTTCTCCCTAAGAAAGCCTTTGCCTCACCGCACCTCTCTGACTGCTCTCCTTGAGGCTTTGCCTCAAAAATTGCTTGGTTTTGTCCTTCATTGTCAGATTGGGAAACCAAGTGGGGCCTGGAAACAGCGTTCTTGGCTTCAGTTATGTTTATCCAACAATTTCCTGTGTGAATGCGGGAAATTCACTCTTCTACTCTGTCTCCATCTCCCCATGGGGACTATTGGGATAATAATAGTCATGAGTGGATATTGAGGGTAAACTCAGTCCATGCATACAAAATACTTTGGAAATATAAAGTAGGATGATTAATCATTTTTAACAGTAATAGCTTGTTCAGTTGCAATCGTCTGCAGTTCTAAAAATATAAGGCAACCACTGCTCGAGCTGGAGTAGTAGCCTTGACTCATCAGAAATATGAAGTATGGAATAAATATCACCCAGAATTTCACCAGGTACATTTTGCCACATAAGATGCTAATACTAAAAATAAAAAAAGCCCAAAATCTATACCTGTAAGATTCAGAACAACCTGACAGTGATACCTGGTACTGGAATCCTGAAAAGGGGCTATCAAAAGGCATTACAAGAAGTCATACCAACATGCTCCTTAATGCTTTTCACACTGTTTTTCACTCAGTTTTTCTGAGTTACAAACCTCAAATGATATTAATGAAACACACACGCTGTGCAAATGGCCAGGCTGGCCACATCTCAGAGCTATCTAAACCAGGTTCCTGTTTGTGGAAGTTCATCTATGCATGTGTTTAGGGAACGAGGACAAGAAAATGAGACGCATACACTAATGCTTTTCCTGCTTCATCCTCCCAGCTTCTAGTAATCTGTGGTTCAGGGATTTCCTGAGCCAGAAAGACTGGAAAGTTCCTGCTGGCCTGGTCTTCCACAAACTCATCTAATGAGCCCTTTTGTTTCCCTTGCTCTTTATGATATCCATGGCAAGGACTTCTACAGGCAAGCTGTGCGCTGTACGGAAAAGTAAATTTCTTCTGCAAATTCAATCCAGACATTGAAAGTCAAGCTCTGTTCTCCCTAAAACCAAACTAGACCCTTTGGCAGCTCTTCTGTTTGTATTTGGCTTGGCAACTGCAACTGACTGGAAACTACTCCTGTAAATACGGACAGGCTTGGATTTACACATGCCATCTGTGTGCTGTGTGACTGCTTAGAGGCTTGAAGATGAGCATGGGTGAAAGTGGCAGTGGACCGAGACCACCGGTTAACAATTCTGCTAAGAATAATGCGGTGTAAATGAAAAAACCTGAGCGTACTCTCCTAGCTGGTCTACATGCTGCAGGGCCAGTTGGAATACAAAGCAATTAAACATGTTTTTGGTTGCTAAAATAAGATACTTTGAACTCAGGAGAGAGGCTGTGAAGATTAAGACGGATTTAGGTTTCCTTTCCAAGGCAGAACTTTATTCTCTTGATTGCTTCGCTTTAACTCATTTTAATTCTGCATGTGTTCATTTCTTTGGGTTTTCCTCAGACCAACAGATGCTGAGTTATAATCCAGGAATCTACAGCTGTTCCATCCCTAACATCTTCCAAGCCGATCTCCTAAATCTGCAGAAGCTCTGTGCAGGGTCCAGGCTGCCCTCGGTCCCCTTGCGCCACCTCTCCAAGCTCCAGTCAGCTCACGGGGAAACCTTTCTCCACTTTGCAAAGTCACACTTGTTCATAGATGGTAAGAGACCCTGCTGCTCTATCACACATTCTCAAGCAAGAAATAAGCAATTAATGTATTCTTTGACAACTAGTATTTTCTTTGAGGGGAAAAAAGAAGTTCAGCTTCAGAAATAAATGTAACAGAGGGCAAGGAATGGTGTCCCATCATAATACTCTCTCAGCCCCACAAAGAAAAAAGCTGTCTGGTCCTTCAAATGCCTTAAGATGTTCAACGATGGGATTTTCAGAAAATTTATTTCCTGTTATTCAACAGTGACAACAAAGAACAAAAATGGAGTTTGAATTGTCTGCTTCTTTTTGTTACAAAGAACGCTTGAAATTTCTTTTCCTTTCCTTTTTTCCTG